ATTCCGAAGGCAAGTGTATTTACCCATTTTTACCTCCCACACACCCTTGTTAATTTTTGGCCATTGATCTTCTTCAATTCATTCAATCAACAGCCGAAAATTGAGAGGGGTATGTGAGAAGAAGTACAAATGGGTGTGTGGATAGCACTACCCAATTCTGAATTCGAATATTTTCCGAAAAATTGGAACGGAAATTGGAATGCAATTAGAGATTCTGAATTTTTCCTAAGTGTTCCAATCTTATTTCGATAAAAAAAAAAAAAAAATCAAATTTTTTATAGTATTTACTCAAATATAAATTTTGTAATGGGACTTTTGTATTTTATTGTTAGTTTTGGATAAATTTTGTTCATTGTTTTTATATTAAACACACACGCATTAAATGCAAACTAGTAGATCACAATATTAATTGAATTTATACATAAGCATATACCAAATAACAATAAATTGCATGTACGAAAAAGTTAAGAGAATATTAAAAACATATAAAAATATATAAATTTCCAATTATGTTCCGAAATTTCTAAAGATTATTCCGATTCCGATATTTCCGAATATGCTAAAAATTCTGAATTTGAAAATTGTCATTTGATCCGATCACAAAATTTTGGAACGGAAATTGGAATGTTTCCAATCTGATCCTTCCGAAAAAACACCCCTACTTCAGAAGTTCAGATAAATAGCAGACACCCCTGCAAGAGAATAAAAATAGCAGGGGCAGTGTTCAACCACCTTGGACTCCCCTAGGAATGAATTGGGTGACGCATAAGGGGCAAAACCTCAATCCTAACCCTATTTTACCTTAATTCAACTCCCCTAACAATTAAAATTATTTTCCCTTACGATGTTGCTCACTAAAAGCGAACTTAAAAAATGTCAACCTGCACTTCTTTTTTAGTCAATTTTTCCCCTGCGCCTAGTTTCATTAGCCAGAGTGGATGAAAGAAACACTCACCATATATAAATTTTTCACATAACAAGTTAATAACAACCCATATATTCTTTAAAGGGTGCAAAGCTTCCAATAAAATAGTAATAATTGGCAATAATACATATAGAATGTAGCTATTTAGTCCTGAAATATTTAACCGCAAAATAAATCCTGAAGTACTTCTCAAAATGACCATATTTTTCCAACGTGTAAGAGCTTTTGTGGAAACAGCATAAAGAGGTGGGATAGTACCCGCAAATAGCTCACAAAGTCAGATTGGATTGTGTGTGATCTGGACGAAAAGCCAGTATCATGCTTAAGACTTAAGATTTAAGACATGTTGTCCAACAAGCCTAACGGAATTCGATGAAGGGACCAAGTTGACATAAATTGGAAAATACAAGTTAACATGGTTTAACTAAGACTAGAAAGACCATACTAGCACAAACTGGAAACTACATGGTTAACATGATTAAAACTGAATCTAGAGCCAGGGTGAAATTTTCAGTAAACTGGGACCTTGGCATTTGTATACTGTTAAGAATGAGCATGTTATATGATGAAAATTCAATCCACATAATCAAACATAAGGCTAGATCAAGGATTGCAACATTAACATTATCGAAGCAATATATGGTAGTAAATTCTGGTTTGGGGGATTACCAGGATGATCATTAAATTTATTTCCATACAAAGGGTTGCCAAAATATATAAACATTCATTATGGAAGATGAAAGGGGTGAGAACAAAAGATACCAATCAGCATATTGCCGACATATGGATTTTCCAATGCTTTATAGCATATAGGACACTTTCTGGGCTTTTTTATCAAAAACCCCACCACCCAAGATAACACCTTATCTGATGAAGACCATAGCCAAAACATCCAAGACTCACCTACCATCTATCTAGCTAGCAAAAACACGCCTAAAGGCTAAAAAGAATACGATCTTCATCAAATCAGATGTTAGGTGAGTCTTGTATGTTTTAGCTATGGTCTTCCTATTTTTCTGACATCTCATTGTTTTATCAGCATTTCTATTGTTGAATTTTCTACTGAGATCAACATTATAAAGGTTTCCAACTGAACCATCTAAATTGGAATGAGAGGTTTCCAGGGTGATCACTCTCTGGTCGGAAGCTTTATCAACCAAGTAATTGTTGGTAATACATATTCAAACACAAAGTTATGAGTGAAGGACCATACCAATTTTTCTGCCGTCCCAGGAGCACTCCATGCCACTGGATGGTCAGAGTGTTCAGCAAATCTTGACAACTGTGAACTACCAGGTCTTGTGTCTGCACTGCGAGGACGCAATGAGGTCAGTGTTGTCTGATTTGATGTCAAGGCCCCAGAAGCCGAAGATGGCCTAGAGTTTGAACCCCATGCATTAGAAGAAGGTTCATGCCCTTTGTCGCTACCAGCAGTTGATGGTCGAGTACCACTTCCAGATGAAAAGTGGCCACTGAGATAGCTTGGTGAAGTGCCACCATCAGCTTTTGGGGACAAAGATGATGAACCCCATGCATTTGATGCAGAAGATGATCTACTGCCCCAACTGGGGGTACCCCTACAATAGTTCAAATCAAGAAAGACCTAGGTGATGAACTAGTACACTAGTAGCAATGAAATATCATACACCGACTCCAACAGAAATTGAATTGGAAAGAGCAAGAGCAAGAGCGAGAGAGAGAGAGAGAGAGAGAGATATATATATAACTCACTTGGGAACGATTTCCACACTTGGGTCCACACCATGATTTTCTAACCTTGAACAGCCAAGACAGGTAAAGAATTTTAGCTAAAAGAAAATGGAGCAAAATAAACTGACTTAAGGACAGTTTAGCAGGAAGAATATACCTCTGACTGGGTAAGTTTATAGGTTTTGGAACTTTCCCTAAAACAGTCATTCCACTTCTTCTGGAGGAACCAATCCTGCAACAGTAATGACAGAATTAAAAAACCACCTAAGGATGTTGATATCTATGTGCTTGTCTGTCTCCGTATGTAAATCATTTTTTCCTCGAAAGTCCCAATGGCTTTTCTTTAAATCAACTAATATCAGACGAAAAATTAAACCAACAATTTCCAATTGCTGAAACATTGTGAATGTTGCCAGATTTTCATACCTCCGGTCCCCAAACAACATACTTGATGTCATGTTTCAATAGTTGCCACAAGATCATTCAAGCCAATTTTTCAAAGCCTGGAAAAATAGGAGACAATTGAAGATTCCATCAGCATGACATTGTAGTCATTGAACCAGGTAAACAAATAAAGCATAGTTTTAGTAGGGTTAGCGAATGGCATAATAAGCCACAAAGAACCCAATTTACATATCTTCTATGAAGGTTTTCTAGTTCATGTTACATGCTTACTGGAAACATTTTTTTATTTGCATAACGAAACTCCTGATTTAGGATTACGACCAAAAAGTACAACATGGCTACTTCAGGTGCATGTGTTTGCTCCAACAAAGCAAAAAGACGCAAACTTCATCATTCGTAAGTAAAGCTCAGCGGTACGATCAATGCTAGGCCACAAAATTTGTTACTCTCTTATCTTGACCCTTTTTACAATAAAGCACGACTAGAGTTTGAGCATTTTATATAGCTTCGACCGCTAAACTAAACCTATCAAGTTCTCCATTCCAAAAGACGTACTGCACTGTTAAAGTGAGACCAAGTTAACAACAAAAAATCCCTGATTTCGAAAACCTTTGTAGTAAACAATGGGACAATACTATAATAAGAATCTATACAACCATGAATATCCGAAAAATCCTTCAATACCCAATGAAACAAATGATAAGCATATACCTGTAAAGATTCATTAACAAATAACTATATACAAACATATATATACACATATAACAACAAAGCACTGAATCCCACCAGACGAATGCATTCGCTTAGTTGGGCAATGAAGCATGTGAAACAATAAGAACATCCCAGAACAGATTAAGCGTGCAAATTACAGTTTTCAACAGCAAATTCTAGTTTATTTCATCCTCCTTCACTCTTTTTACATAAATTCTATTTCTTTTATTTTCTCGGGAAACAAACAGGCTAAATTAGCATAAAATTGTCGAGAAAATTAAAAAATAATGACTTGCCTGGTAAAAGAATAGGTTTTAGGGGGTTCCCGGAAACCCTAGCAAAGTTGATATGGGTTTTGGGAGAGAAACGATCGAAACGCAGCGTATAAGGGTTTGGGGAGATCGCGAGGAAGGTTCGGAGAAACAGAGATCCCTGTGAGTTGGAAGAGAGAATATGAGTGTGATTGGTTTCAGATCAGAGGAAGGCTAAAGGGCGAAGAAGAGAGAGAGAGGAGAAAAGGAGAGAGAGAGGAGAAGAGGAGAGAGAAAGGGCGGAAGAGAGAGGAGTTCGAGGGTGTACGAGTCGTAATCCGATGTTGTAAATACACAGGTCCCGCAAAATTACCGTGTTTTGGAAATGTTTTAAAAATGATCGAAAATACTTTTTGTAAAAATGTTTTTAAAATTAATTTTTAGTAAAATTAAACTAAATTCTGAAAGCATTTCTAAACGAAAACATGCAACATATATTTTGTGTTTTTTTCTAAAAAAACATTAGAAGTATTTTTGGAATAGAAAATAAATTTCACCAAAAATAATTTTAATCATTTTAAAAGTACTTCTAAATGAGCTTTTAAATTCGAATTTAGGGGTTCTAAGAAATTTTTGGATTTGTGTTTTTTAACCTTTAATTTAATTTTTTTGTTGAAAAAAGGGCAAAGTTGTATTTTTGTTTGAGATCATATATGGGAGGGGTAAGAATGTCATTCTAAGTTTATGGTAGTGAGATTTAGGTGTAAGATCATAGGACTAATGGGGGGTTAAGAATGTCCTTATCCAAATTGCTTTCGTTTCAGGAAATTGAATGGAGGGTCAGTATCATGGGAATAATGCTTTCACAAATAGAGTAAGAAAGTTAGGTGACTTTTTTTGCTTTTTCTTTCAATATAAGCAAAAGTAAGGGTGAAATCGAACTCAAAATCTTTACTGCAAATATATTCATAACCATTTGAGTTACGCTCAGGTTGAGGGAACTCAAAACAAATAATATCCATAGCCAAAGGCACGACGCTTTTGCTAAATACCGAAACTCAAAAGCACGACACTTCTTGTCGAGTGAAATTTGTTATATTGAAAGCCATATATTTTTGTACAAAAAAAATGAACTATAGTGCATCAAGTCAAAACTTGAGAGTAACATTTCTCAGTCTCTAAATTTAGCAGGCACCGTCACTTCTGTAAAATACTCCTTTCTGACGGTCTCCACGGAGCAAAACCTCACCTTCAAAAGACAAATACTTCAAATGAGATGAAGGTGGACAAATAACAATAGCTTGCAAGAAAAAAAACACCAAAGATAGCCCAAAAAGCTTTAAGCATGAAGGTTGGGACTGCAGAAAGTTTACGGTAGGGAGGCTCCATCAGATTTACAATAGACACCTAATCACTTTCGTAACTTAAGAACTCCAGAAAGTTTACGGTTGGAAGACTGCAGAAAGTTTACGGTAGGGAGGCTGTCACATCCCGGCCCGGGGGGGCGGATCACTTCCTGGATCCGCTCCACCACCGTAGCACGATATTGTCCGTTTGGGCTTACCATTCCCTCACGGTTTTGTTTTTGGGAATTCACGAGCAACTTCCCAGTGGGTCACCCATCATAGGATTGCTCTAGCCCCCTTCTCGCTTAACTTCGGAGTTCCCGTGGAATCCGAAACCAGTGAGCTCCCAAAAGGCCTCGTGCTAGGTAGAGATGGGAATATACATTTAAGGATCACTCCCCTGGGCGATGTGAGATGTCACAATCCACCCCCCTTAGGGGCCCGACGTCCTCGTCGGCACACCACGGCCAGGGTTAGGCTCTGATACCAAATTGTCACATCCCGGCCTGGGGGGCGGATCACTTTCCGGGCCCGCTCCACCACCGTAGCACGATATTGTCCGCTTTGGGCTTACCATTCCCTCATGGTTTTGTTTTTGGGAACTCACGAGCAACTTCCCAGTGGGTCACCCATCATGAGATTGCTCTAGCCCCCTTCTCGCTTAACTTCGGAGTTCCCGTGGAACCCGAAGCCAGTGAGCTCCCAAAAGGCCTCGTGCTAGGTAGAGATGGGAATATACATTTAAGGATCACTCCCCTGGGCGATGTGGGATGTCACAGAGGCTTCATCAGATTTACAGTAGACACCTAATCACTTTCGTAACTTAAGAACACTAGAAAGTTTACGGTAGGAAGACTGCAGAAAGTTTACGGTAGGGAGGCTGCATTGAAGAAAAAATTTAAGAACTCTAGTAGAAAACTTCCAATAGTTTGCCTAAGGTCACGGAGTAAGGATGTTTGAGGCTAAGCATGCTTCTGGTTTGTAATGCTACGTCGGTTTTTTACTTATTCTCCTTTTTGTTTTTCTCTTACGCAAATAGGTGGAGAAGTTTCTTAAAGCAAAAATTTTAAGAACTCTGTCGTGTATCCTCCTCCTCCTAACAAGATATGCACATACTAAAGGTATCAAATTCAAATGTCGTTCGAGTACAGAACACAGTATGAAATTTCCTTTTGAACAGATGTAGATTTTTTTTTTTTTTTTGAACAATATGGTATGTAATATTCATCTTTGATTGCAATACATACCAGCGAAGAATAAGATTTTAACAACGGTTTGGCGAGCTGCCAAATTGGCTTGAATATAAATGGAGCTTCCACGAAGAGGACTTGGCCCAATCGCTTTGGATAATAGTAGTAGAAAACATCAAACTGCAAGAGAGAAGGAATCAACTTACAATGGCCATCATATAATCGTCTTGACAGTTAATATCTAACTAATCAAGAAAATATGATTAGCAGGCCAAAGAACTTCTTCAATTATGATGTATGACAAGCAGAAGCAGCAACAAGAAAAAACGCTAATTCCTTTATAGTAATTAATCAAGGTAACAATCGGCAGGTAGCTCGTAAAGCTTACCAAAAATGTTATGAAATCTAAATCTGCATTTTCTCTACCGAACCCTCGTAGATCAAAGATTCCTAGTATTTCTTTGCTCCCTTCTGGAAGGGCACTCAACGCCTTCTCAATCAAAAACACGCAGAGCTTCTCATTCTCAGCAGGATCATGCACCTGTGGAACTTTTTGTACAGTTACCAATGTACCATACAAAACTTGATCTAAGCCAAAGGTAGCAAAAAATTGATCACAATTCGAAACGGTGTAACACTATTTTGTTGATTAAATTGGTATGTTACACCTCAAGAATATTAAGATTATATGGTATGGAGTCGGACATGGCAAAAAGAATAAAACTTACAGCAGGAAGATGCTTAGAAACATCCACTATGAGAACGGGTCTGCCGTTAACATCAAAAAAGTCGTGTACATAAGCTTTTCCAGTTTTGGCTATACCCTTCACCGAATCTTGAGACAATTCTGACACTCTGAATTCTCGACGCCATTTCTATCACAGGATTAGGGAAATACCGAAAAAGGAACTGTAATCGTAATTACATTAACCCTTTCCGGCTTTAAAGGCGGAAAGAATCTGAAAGGAAAGAAATTTCCAACGTAAAATGTAAGAGACTAAACATGTTCAAGCAACAACTAACGCAAATTATGCAATTGATCAAGCTCGTGAAGGATACGATTGCTTTATTCAATCTTTCGACAGCATCTTTGACTGAAAACTTGCGGTCCTTGAGAAACCATAGGATCATATCTTCATCATCTCTTCCATTTTTCCCTACAGGAAGACTCTGATAATCTTTCTCAAGCTTCTCCTTCACTTCCAAAACCAGCTGCAACTTCGTAAAGCACACAAGATAAGAACAACCACGAATTTTTTTATCAGCAATTCAGAATACAAAGTAAGAAAAACCAAACCAACAAGACTGAGAAACATCAAAATTCAAACTTGCATATCCAAACAGATTGCAGAGACCAAGGTACAATGTAAGCAACCCAATTTGAGGAAGATTAAGAAACATAAAAAATTAAATCTTTATGCTCCTCAACATGTGAATTTAAAAACTCAAACTTCAAAATTCAAACTTGTACATCTAGGAATCATAATTCACAATTTTCTCAGTCACTTTCCACATTTTCCGAGTATCCAAACAGATGCAAAGTTAGTGTTACTGGTAGGTGTACAAAAATCCAATCTTTCTTCTCCACAAAATGTGAACTAAATATACAAACTTCAAAACTCAGCTGGCATATCTAACAACCATAGTTTACAACTTTCTCAGTCACATTCTCACATTTTCTCAGAAACCAAACAGAATCCGAGTCAGTGGGAATTGCAGGTGGACTTACCTTGTGTGATTCATTGGGGTCTAAGCGGCAGCTCCGAACTGAGAAGCTGCGAATTCGGGACGATTTAATTTGATGGGAACAATTGGAGAGCACAGAAAGATGACGCAGAGGATTACAGATACTTCGGAGCTCCATTTCTCCGATTAGTGGTCCGAAACCGCTGAATCCGATCGCGGTTTCGGTAAGAGGACGATGAGGCCGCTGTCTTAAGCAGCTCACGGTGGCGCCAATTGATATATTAAAGAGAGACAACGACCTTGGGGATAATATACGAATTGTGAGAAATGTACAATGTCGGTTCTGCCCTTCTAAACAACAGATCCTACCCACTTGCTCCAATTGATATTTTCTTGAAAGATCGGAAAAAACAAGATTGAATTTTGATTTGGTGAATAAGAAGATTTATTTTACAAAGGATGTCAATTTTGGTTCAATAGTTAACAATATAACGAGGCCTTGTTTAGCAGCTCGAGCTGTATTGATTATTTTTGTCGGATAGGATAAATAGTCACTGGATAATACTAACTAAATTAATTGGACGTTTGATACAGTATCGGACTAATAACCATATTATTCATACTGTATCGAATATGAATTCAATGTAATTATCTAAAAACCCAAATACTTTTCAAATCCTAAACTTCAAAATAAAAAGCAAATTAAAGATTGCCCAGATGAAAATTTTCCTAATTTCCAAATTCTATCATCATTCTCAACCAAGATTCCAAAATAAACCCAGATCATATCAGAAGCAGCAAAATTATCCAATTCAAATTCAATGGGGAGAATCCAATTCAAATTCTCAACCAAGATTCCAAAATAAACCCAGAACAGATCAGAAAAACCCAATTCGAATTCAACTGTTGTGAATGAGAATGAAACTCTCTTTGTACGGTGCTTGGCGCGATGAGGAGAGCAACGATGGCGAAAGAAGGCGATGAGGAGAATGGTGACAACGAGATCAACGACAACGAGATAAGGCAATGGGAAGAATGACGACAACTATAGGAGAACAACGACAATGAGAGGGATGACGGTGAGAACGACGATGGCAAGAGGAGGTGTCGTGGAGAACGAAGTGCGAGAGAGAGGAAGGGGAGTCAGACTAATAACCCATTCCTTTTAGAAGGGTTTATTAAGAAGGTGTATACCCGACTAAATAAGCAGACTAGTTAAATTAATTCGGTGACTATTTAATACAAGAGGACATAAAACGACCGTGTTTGTATTATTAGTCTTATCCGATCCCTTATATGACCTGCCAAACGAGGCTTGAGTTTAAACAAAAAAAAAAAGTTAACAGTATTAATGGTGAAGTACGGATAACTACCTAATTTAGGAATGATTTCAAATTAACCTTAATTATTTAAAACATCCTAAATAACTACGTAACTTTTTAATATTGGACATCTAGTAGGTCATAAATGTTAAATACTAAAGCTGTTTTTTCACTAATCGTCATCTTTTGGAGCTCTAAATCACTAAATTGACTCTCATTCGCCTGTTGAAACCTAAATTTGCTTTAGCTAAAAGTGCTCGATTTGAGGATTCAAAGCTCCATAGATGACTTAAGTGCAAAATTTTCTTCAATATTTGTCCACGTCATTTAACATTAGTGATCTAACATATGTCTAATTTTCAAAACATTAAATAATTCTGTAGAATGTTTTAAACAGTTGGGGCCAATTTGAAATTGCTAGCTCAGAACAATCTGCCTAAGTTTTTTATACAATTAATTACTTAACGTAATTTGATGTCACACAAGTTCAAGAAATAGGCTTGCTCTAGGATGCAGGCCAGCATCCTTGAGTGTGATCCCCATTTGATCAACTCCATACACTTTTCTTGGGAAGCTTGACACCAATCTGTAGTTTCCTCCTATACCAGGAACACCCAATGAATCTATGTATCTGTAAACCGCCTGCAGTTTGTCTGTGCACAAGAAGCATTGCTCTCGTCTTTCGCCATTTGGAAATCTGATCAGTATCCGGGCAGCCTGAGGATCTTGAGGATCAATAGAAGCCTCTCTAGTTTTTCCATGCTGTTTTTGGGCAGAATGGTTTTGAAGCCTCTCATGATTTGCTTTGTTTGGGGCTTCTGCTGGTTTTTGAGGTCGAACAGGTGGAGGTACATTCTTTAGTCTCTCCTTTTCCTGCAAGTAGGCAAGAGTATGAGTTTCTCTCGACCTTCTAATTGGTTTTGAGCTCCATTAAATTTTAAAACGTGTCAATTTTTCTTATGTCGTAAAATGTATCACATTTTTCTATTAGTTTCCCCGCTTGAACGAAGGATCAAGTCGAAAATAAAAGTAAGGCCTTAAGTTCAGGGGTGTCGCTAAAAAATTTCCTTTATTACAAAACGAAGTGTAAACAAACCTTGTCTATTTGTATAGCTGCAAGATATGCTGCATCTTGTTCTTCCCTCAGACGGCGGTCTGCTATTATTTTTTCTGCATTCTTGGCCTTCAAACTGCGAAACGCCAGCCCTTGTTCCTCTAGCGTCCGCTGCAGAATCCCCACCAGCTCGGTTGGGGAAATTGGCCCTTCCATCTAAACATGGACAAAGAAATAACGAATAAGAGAATAAAGAAAGTTGAAGATAGTACCCTTATCGTTAGGATTGGAAGCTGAAACTGTTGTTGTTACTGAAGAGACTCACCTACAAAGGGAGTGCCACTGTGGCGGTATCTCAAGTCAATCATGCACTATATATGATATGTTTTAACTTTATTCACATGACAGTAAGTGATTGGCTTGGAATACTAACACAATAACATCTCAAGAGAAGTTTTGTTAATACAATCATTGATGGATGAAATTTTTGGCATTCAACAATAAATTTAGAACTAATAGATGATTCATTTATGAAGGTGCTAATTAAAATCCTTCAAGTTTAGGTTTCAGTTAACCTGCTGCATCACTGCTATGTTATCACCAGCAACAGGAGCTATAACAGCACAGAATGGAAAGCAAGCCGGGCGAAGAGTTGCACTCATTTGTAGACCTTCATCTCTATCTGCAATTGCTCCCCAGGAAACAAAGTTAGCATCAAGAAACTGCACCACCGCCTCTGAAGACAGCGTCTCCTTACAGAAAGAAGGTGTGAAAGGGTGTTCCGGTGAGTGGAGATACAAGAACAAGAACTTGTGCTCATCCTCAGCAATCTTTAGGGCTTCCATAAACCGGCATGCGTAAAAGAATGGATGCATGGCGCCATACTGCTGCTCGAAGCTAGTTAGAAAAGAGACCGATACTTCTGGAAGGATTAGAGGCTCTTCTCGATAATGCATTGGAAAGTTTGATGGTAGGGTTTGAGTTCTTCTTCCTGATCCTATTCCTATAAGGTGTCTGCCGTGCCCCATTGCTCTCGAAAATCCTCCCATAAGGCTTCTCGGAAGGCTTACCATCCGGCGAACGATCCCATTGCAAGATGCCTCTGCAGCTGATCTTATGCCTTCCCTCATTGCCATCAACAATCGAAAGTTTCTTTTTGTAATAAGATCAATTGAGATATAGGGTTAATTTCTTTTACGCGAAAAACAGTTAATTACAACGAGAAGCCTCTAGGGAAGCCATTACGAACATGAGAGCGGAGCGAATTAAGATATACGGTTGTTCAAAGCAGTACAAACAATCAATCAGTTTCATTGTTGCTTTATTAGATTAAAGTTTAATTGTGGAGATAAAAAGAGAATTATGGGAGAATGTGAAGATGCTTCTTCTTTTTAGCGTCTAGAAACATGAAAGGAGAGGATTGTGCTTTGCTTGTGAAACAATCCACCGTTGAATGAGGAAGAAATTCATGAGCATCTAGGTTGAAACAGATTGAACCATCATTTTCGATCGATCCATCACTTTTCGATCAATCAATAATTCATATGCACTTTGCACATATGCATATTTCCTTCCTTTTTTTTTTTTCCTGAGAGAAACATATTTCCTTCCTTAATACCACTTACAATGACTATACAAATTGATCAGTCTTCAGAATATGTTCTTCCATAATGTGAAATGAAGGGCCGGAATTTCGGAACAAAGATAAAAGTTGGGAGTGACTAATCTTATGTGCAGCGACAAGCTTTTAGATGTAGAGGTAAAAGTTCTTAATCACTTAAGCTTCAAATATGCCAATGAACAAAGATAAAAGTTAAAGTGAATATTACGTGTAACAATTTGATTTTCACATATCCGAGCATCCGTTTTTTCTTTTAATGCAACAGATTTTGGGGGAGGAGATTCAAACACGCGATTAGAGTGCATAAGCAAACGCTTTTAACTACTTTGAACTACAAGTCCCTTACGTAGCATCCTTTTTAGTTTGTCAATAAAGCACAACTGAGAAATTGTACCTATATATGACCAAGGGTATCCGTTTTCCCCGATTAGCATGATTATTATCTTCAAAATGTCAAGTTTAGCGACTGATAGTTGTTTTAGTACTTGAGTTCTTGAGCACCTTCCAGTCTCTCAGACCACCTTTCTCTGAAGAATAAATTAGGTCTTTCATTTCTTTCTGGGAAAATCATGATGACAAGAAAACTTTTTGACCTCCAAACGACAAACCCACATTTTTTTTCAAAATTTTAATACAATAAAAAATAAAAACCAAATAAATTCTAGCATTTTGTGGGATGGTGGCTACCCATGTGACTGTAAAAGTCCCTACATTGTATAATTCCATCGTACCTTTGAAGGTTTAAAGTGTTTTGCTTTTGAAAAAAGGCAAATAATTTCAGCTTTTTCTTTCACACACACACACATATCTATATATACATATATAGTGTAGAATAGTAATAGCTCCCATACAAGATAAACATCACATGGTCTCCAGACTCTCCACACATTGATATCAGATTATGAATTGTATGACCTATCACCATCTTCAACCTTCAAGATACTGCAAAGGTATATATATAGTGGGACTATAGCTTACACCTGCATTATATTATGCAGGCACCACTGTTTTAAGACAAGATACTCGGGCTTGCTAAGCAGGCCTCGCATTCAGTACTCCTACCCTAGCTAGTGCTTGTACCATATGCACTATAAATGTCTCCTGAGCTAAAATGGACTGTTTTATGATGGGTTAGGTCAAGAAATTTGGTGAATTTGGTAATGGGGTTTTTTCGGTTTGTAAAGTTTTGGTTCATATATTTCAAAAGAACAAACTTTAAACACACACCATTCAAGTTACGCTGATCAAAAAACAATATTCAAGGTACAAATTGATGTGCTATTGTCCGAAATGCACGTCTAAATCTCAAATCAATATATCTTTTGCTAACATGAATGCTACGTTGATGCATGTTAGGTGGTGATTTTTCATATTTAGAAGGTTAGGATTTTCTTATGATTCATTTATCAATTGGGCATCTATTTAAACAAACAATGAACTTACCAAGTGCTATGATAACAAAATAAAAGTTAACTTGACAACCAGACAGATGAAGAGGTTAAGATATAAGAATTTGTAACTTTAGAGTTCTACATATTTGCCAATATTTGGAAAAATAGGGATTCTCAAACTGAACCCAAAATGGTGCAAAATATAAGATTCCCTTCTCTTAACCTGCATTCTTAATCATTGAATAATTATGATTATATTATTTTGTTCTTTCATTCTTTAGAAACGACATGTTCACAATTCACAAGAGAATCTACCAGCTGGTGCGTGCCTTCTGCTACAAACTATACAAACAGCAGATGATGAATGCAATTTCACATCATCCCAGTCACACCAGGCTTGAAGATTTAGAGCAAATCCCAGCATAATCCGAGCTTAGCTAGCTCTACCAAAAATTACATGGTGATTAATCTTTTCCTTTTGCCAGTCGGTGCTCTCTTTCATAAAGCATCGCAATGGCAGCCTTTCACTCCAAGTCAAGTGACATAGTATTATGCACCTGAAAAAAAAAAGTTACAGTTTTATATAATTTATGCCATGAAATGACAATAACTTTATGAATTATCAGCACAAATCACGAACCCTAAAATTATATAATATAATCCATCCTAAGAGATCTTATAACCTTTTCGATTACTTCAAAATATTCAACCATGTAAAAATTAAAAAACAGTATTCCTTTCACATATGCGCGCGTGTGTGTGTATCTCAATATTATTGTGGGTCTGGAATCTATTCTGAAAGGCCAGCTTTACAAAAGGAGGGGCATGGGAACAACTTAATTATAATCTAGAATGTGGAGGTTTTGCTTTTTAATGAGCGTGGCTTAGATGGACCAATATATATATATTCTCAAGTCTCAACTGGTTGCTGCAGATGTTGTTGGGAGTGCGAGTGAGTGGAGGGTCATTTGTGAAAAGAAGAGAGAATTCAAAGAATAGAGTATAATTGGCAAACAGTGATAAGGAGTCGGGAGGACCATTTGAAAGTGACAAGCACCATTGCTTCCCTAGAAAGAGAACCAAAGCACCAGGGTAAAGGTCCCATACCTTTCTGCCTCCCACAATCTAGTGCCCTGAAAATTCATATCTTCATGGTTAATTTCAAAATAACTAGGTGTAGATAGGAATCTTCTAACTTTAATTATGATTGGTAATCCCACTTTAAAAGAAAGTATGGTAACGGCAATTTTTCGGAGTACCCCTAATATCGTTAGGTGAGTTTACTGAATTCACTCATGTTATAACATGAATATATATTAATGTCACATTTTGAAGTATAAACCAATTTATTATTTCCAGTATAATTAACGCATAAACTAATTAATAACATTATGTGACTTTGTTATAATCACACACAAACTTCAGAGACTTTGAGCCTAATATGATTACACATTAGATTGGTGTATACATGTGGCCCTTAATTACTTGTATAACTCATATTATAGTGTTTAGATTAAACTAACAAGAATGGTAAGAAACAACCTTCGCACATGTGATTACATTAGCTATAGATGCATATCGTTACTATTGTACATGCAAATGGGTAGATCATTATGTCATATTTCGTGTGTTTCACTGACATGAATGATCAAAATAAACTTAGTTCTACATCCGTAATGGATCCTAACATCTCCCTCTAAGAATTAGGGTTAATCATCAAGATTGAGGATGCTGTTAGTTAGACTGTCAATTCCAACAGTTATTACATGTTACCATTTGTCTCTTGGAGGCCTATGAATTTAGCAATATGACAAATTGTCGGCATAGGAGGTTTTGACATGCTTGACCTTAGGCGTCAGCTACCCATGAATCCATGATCGCGACATTCATATATGGATTGCAGGATTGGACCCATCTAATCAATATGCATCGTCTTCCTTAGTAAATATTGCAATAAATTTGATCTGTTCTGGGTGAAATAGATATTGAACCGGTGATTCGTCCGGCGGATAAGATTTTTCTCTTCGATTTATTGTGTTTCGGATCAATTTGTTCTTACTTTTATTAGCGTAGCTTAGAGTAAATATATCGTTTGTAACAAAAAAATTGTAGCTAGTTAAAAACTTAAAACCACATCATTGGCTTTGTCCATTTTTTGGATGAATTCCAAAGTATTGACCATTTAAGAGCAACTCCAGGCCAACCATATAGGTTGGTCTAAAGTCTAAAAAAAAGGTCGGCACCCCCCAAAAACACTCCAGTCGAGCCTAATAGGTTGGCACCTAGCTTAAGCCAGCTTCTAGGCTGGCCCAAAACGTGTTGGGCCATGTGACGTCACACTGGCGTCAGCATGATGTTATAGGCCAGTCCAGATTTTTTTTGCACCAGGCACATGGGAAACACATGTGAGTGGCCGCGCGTTACCGACAAGAAAAATGGGGCGAGGCTCGCATGTGTAGGCGCAACAGAGGGGATTGACAGGATGCCATGTGGCTCGTTCTGGCTATTGGATTTCCAACGACTAGTTTTTTGGACAATTGGATTTCCAACGGTAAAAAAAACTTGAAATTCAAATCCAACGGCTAGTGACGTGGCGCGTTTTGGGTCGTCTGATCCTTAGATCAACGGTCCAGATTAAATAACTTAATAAAAATTAACAAAAAATTATTAAAAATTGTTTGAAAATACAGAAGAAATAAAAATAAAAAAAATTTTTTTCTATAAATACCTAACCATCATCTTCCACCGTACACCACATTTCAATATTTTCAACACTTTCAACCAAAGTTTTCATATACTTTTTTATGGAAAAAATGACTACGTGGAAGCTCATCGAAGATGTTACGTTGTGTCAATACTGGGTTCAAATTACTCATGACCCTCTTACAGGTAATGAGATGGACTTGTGAGAAATGTGGAGTAGAATTACGGAAGCGTTTTGCGATAAGCTTGGAGATCGCACAAGAAGTAGTCAAGGTCTTCAAGGTCATTGGAAAAAAACTCAAGATATCCTTTACTTGTTGGAAAAACACTCTATCTCATGCGCCCATTAATCTGAGTAGTAGGAGAAGTTTAGCGGATCAGTTGACAATATTTTTATTTATATGTATTTCACCCACATCAATATTTTAATTTATTTATTTGTGTTACACCCGCATTTTATAATATTGTCTTATCCCACATTTTATAGACACTACAAGTACAACCATTCTACAATGTGAAGAACAACAACAAATCATTCACCAAATGGGAATGTTGGGATGTTATCAAAGATAGTCCCAAATACAAACTTGTGCCAACTGGCCCAGAAGTTGTCATGCACGGCATCCCTCTACACTGTTCGCCAAAAGCAGACATTGCCACACAGGAAGGCGGCACATTTGAAGAGAGGGAAGGGACGCCTGAAGAAGTGCTGGAGATGTAGCCGACTCATCGGTCCCTAAGGCCTCAAGGTAAAAAGGCGGCAAAGAAAAAAGGGAGTTCTTCCAAAAATGACTACACAAAATATATGGACGAACTTGCTCGCCAAGGTGAACTAAACATGGCACGAGAAACGGCTAGAGATGAGGCAAAAGCTGCGACTATGGAAGCAATCTTAGCAGCTATTGAGAGAAGTGATACAGCTAATGAGAGACAAAGAGAAATACTTAATCGAGAAAGCCAGATGCTTAGAGAAGAAATGATGGCTCAAGCAGACCGTGACACTATGAACAAGCCTCTAGAAGAAATGTCTCCGAATTCTAAATATTTTTGGACA